CGCTTCCTGTTTGATCTTGAGGAAGGTATTGATGTAGTCTTTAAATAACTCTTGAATGCTTTCTTTAAAATGCCACACTTCGTAAATTCGCTCTAAGGTATATCCCGTGTCCAGACCTTTATGTAATTCGGTCGTCACCCAGGTGCCCGTGAGACTACGTTCCCGGTCGGTGTGTTGACATCGATCTTGAGAAGTAGAGTCCTGTCGTTCGGCACACGTGCGACATAAGGGAAATAATAACTTGCCTCCGGTCCGATAAGGTAATAGGGGGTGATAGAGGCCTCGGGGTGGTAAGACCCGACAGTGAATGAGACCGAAATAACTTCTCACGTCCTGGAACTCGTCTGTGATGATCTCGGGATGCCCTAGGGGAAATGGTCTGTGTTTCAACACGTAAGGATATAAGGAACAGACGTCCACGTATCTCATGTCCCCTTCCTCACAATATAATTTAGTGGCATTGGTCCGGCCTCCGTACAGGGCCTCTCGTGGGTTCAAAGGATCGGGAATGTCCAGATCTCGTACAAAATGCTGTAAACTCGCATCTTTTTGCACTTGCTGATCGAAATCGTGCTCCCAGATACTACAGACGGTGTACCCCATGTCCTCCAAATCCGCAGTCCTTCGGAGGGTTTTCTCGTGTAATTGTTGGTAAGTAAATTGGGTTCGGTGAGGATGAGTTTCGGTCTGTAAACTTGGATAGCAAGTGGGGCATCCGTGCCAATAACACCCGTAAAATTCGTAGACGGTACGAGTCGCTTCTTGGTATCCGTCGACGGTATAATTTCCGATCGGGACTTCGCCTCCGTTTCTGGCATGTTGTATGTGACATCCACTCTGATGACTCATCCAGGTGAGCCACCGACAGGCTTTAGCCGAATATTGTCGTGCCGGTTCATACCCGAGGTTAGGAATGATGGCAATGGTGTCTTTAGGCATGAATTGTCGACGGTAGGCTAAATTAGCAGCACTGGGAAATGTGATGGATTCCTGGAAAGGGTCCACGTTGACCAAACTCTTGAGGGTGGTTCTAAACTGTGCACAGCATCGTCGTAAAATGTCGACGTCCGAGACACAATACTCTACAAACTCTTTCTGGAAATCAAACACTTTTCCCCTCTGTTGTTCGTACCATTCGAAAAAAGTCCGGTTTGTAGAAAGCTGCCGGTGGATAAGGTCCCATGTAATTCTGGTTCTGTTCCGTATTAAAAAAGTGGGGAAAATAACCTTTCTTCAATTCGTCGAATCCGAAAGCGGAGGGCATCTGGGCCAAAGGAAACGGTAAGAAACTATGCGAGTCAATGAATTTCAGTCCACATATTTCCATGTACAAGATCTTACTGCCGTTCATGATCACGTTAGGTTTCAGGGGGGCAGAATGCACTATGTAATTCAAAATGAATTGTCCGTCGTATCCTTTGAAGTTATGGGCGATGGCGATGGCCTCGTCGTGTACTAAAGTGGAATTCTTAGTACCTGTTGTGGGTTGTAATAACCAGTCCATGAACTTCTTTAAGGTGTCTGGTCCTTGAAATAGGTGCTGACGGGGTCCCATGTGTTGACAATGAGGACAGGGTTGGTCTCTGGGTAAGTCAGCGCAATGTTGACAGACGCGGTGTGCCACACACAGATTAGGGATGTGAATGCCCGTTTCCTGAGTGCATTCGAAATCGAAATAGATGTAAAACTGTAAGGTGTCTTTCCCCTTCTTCTTCTTCTGGGGCTTCAGTTGAACGTAGCACCGATGATCGGCATCGACGATTTTCTTACAGATCTTACAATGTTTCTGTTCTCCGCACTTGTTATGAGGAAATAAAATCTTAGGTATCCAGGACTGACACTTCTCGCATCGATCCATTAAATTGCAGACAGTAGTGGTGGTTTTCTTACTATGGGGTCTTAAATGATTTTCGTAGCAGGTCCTGTTCTTAAAAATTCCTTGGCATTCCCGGCATCGAATCTTGCTCCCGTCATCGGGACATTTAGGGTGCCCTAAACAAAAGGGACAGCGATGAGGACACTTGGAGCGATGGCCTGTGACATTCCTGTACCCCACGTCGCAATCATCACAGTAATAGGGGTTCCCTGTCACTCCAGGCATGGATATGATAGCATCGTAATGATGGTCGTCGAACAAAATGTTCAAATAAGTTCCATTTCCCGAACCTTTGTAGATAGGTTCTAAACAGAGTTTAGTCGAAGTAGATTTGAACTGAAATATTTTCAGTCGATACTGAGGAGCTAATACCTGTTGTAATTTCGTCCACTCTGGGGATCCACAAGCTTGATTGATATCACACTCGGCCTGTTCCATGAGGGCTATGGCTTCTCGTTTCTGGTCTAAGTATTGATCGCCTGATCTCATACGAAGCCACCGTATTTTCCATTCCGGGTCTGGATGTTCGGGTTTTTGACTGTGTAATCGAGTGACGACGATGGCTCTAGCCAAACAAAATTTATCATGGGGATTGACGATCCGAACGATGACTCTTTTATTATTCTTAAAAGTTTCTTTATTCACTTGTAAATGTTTGGTTCTGTTTCCACCACTCCCCTTTGGGGATTCTCGATATGAAACAGACCGAATTCCAGGGAGCCGTCGCCCAGTTTGAACTCCTGTTTGGATTGTTGCACGGCTTCTATTTTATCTAAAATGAGGTCTTCGTTTAAATCTTTACATTGCGTAAACTCGTACCAAATCTCTGAATCCAAAGATTGGTGACGTATGTTCAGGCGGAGGTAATCGTTAGGATTACACTGCATTTCAGATTTGAAGTTTTGTAACATGTCTCTGAATAATCGCCGAACGTAACCTGTGTTTTCTTCTTCTTCTGGAAATTCATTGAAATGGACGATATAATTATTTTGATGCGCTTTAAATTTTGGAGAGTGGGCTTCATCAGCTAGTCTCATCTGATAATAATCAGAAATCGGTTTAGGTGGTGGATCTATTTCTCTCTCGGTTCTTTTTCGTTTCAATAATCGTTGAGCCTGTAACTGTTTTTCTCTAGTAGAATCCATGTCTAACAGCTGATGGCTCTGAGGGTAAAATGAACCCAAAGTTGGAGAAAAGCCGTATTTATATAGTGGATGACGTCACAATGCATAGGTAAGTCCAACCTTTTTTTTTTTTTGCACACGACCCTATTTTTTTTTGCACACGGTCCTTTACAGATGATGCAACACGTATAACATGTATAAAAAGATGATGCAACACGTATAAAAAGATGATGCAACAGGTATAAAAAGATGATGCAACACGTATAAAAAAGATGATGCAACAGGTATAAAAAGATGATGCAACAGGTATAAAAAGATGATGCAACAGGTATAAAAAGGTAGGTAAAAGGTAGTGATGCACACGGCCCTTACAGTAAAGGTATATAAACCAGAGCTGGACATCGAGGATCACTCTGCGTGAGTACTTGGAAGTGAACACAGGTAAAAATGGAGCAGAACAAAAATATGACAGAGGAAACGGTGTATTGTTTGTGTATTAATGGAGAATATTTTGGAGAATGGATGAAAACTAAAGAAGAAGCCATCCAGAATTTTTATAAACGCAACAGAAATTATTTAAAATGGCCACCGAATTTAAAGTACAAAAAATTTTGGTTGGTAAAAAGAGTGGAATTGGATCCTGAAGATTTTGAGACCAATTATGACACCAGAGAGGAAAAATACTGTCTGAAGGAGAGAAAAAATGGTTATTACGGTTATCAAAAATACCAATTGGAGATCAAGAGTGGACCTTATCGTGGGGAGAAGAGTTCCTGGAAAATTTCACTTGTGGATTGTTTTCATCAATTGGTAGAGAAGAGGATTAGGGAAGAAAAGAAGCTTATAGGAATTTTTACAGATAGGTCTATTTATAAAATGTATGTACATTGTCGCATCCCTCTATCGCCTGAAGGAGAACAATCTCAAGAAAAAGGAGAGGGAAAGCAAGAGGAAACTACCCCTGATGAGTGATAAGGGACAGAAGAAAAAGAAAATGTAATTGGATGTATTTTTTCATTCTGAATAAAATCTGTGTTCTTGTTATTGTGTGTTAGTGTTCTTGTTTTCAGTAAAAAAATCCAGTTTGAACTGGCTAGACTAGGCTGTCTAGACTGTAAATGAATGGGTGACGTCATAATCACATTGTATTTATACAGTGGATGACGTCACAATGCATAGGTAAGTCCAACCTATTTTTTTGCACACGACCCTAATTTTTTTGCACACGGTCCTTACAGTATAGTGTAAAACACTATATTTAGAGCTATATACTGAATCCCCACCTATCCCTACCCCAAGGACTGTACTGAGTTGAACCCCCCTATCCTCCACACACCCCCCAATCTGCACTCTCTTGACCCCCTATCCCCCAGGGGGGCTGCACTCCCTTGACCCCCTTATCCCCCAGGGGGCTGCAATCCCTTGACCCCCTTATCCTCCCAGCCAATCAGAATCCTCCATTTTTGAACCTCATTTGCATAATGTCCTAGATATTGACCTCGCCATCTAGCCTGCTTCAGGCTAGGACACTTCTGGCTAGGCCACTTCCGCTTCCGCTAGGCCACTTCCGCTAGACCAGTTCCGGCTAGGCCACTTCCGGTTATGACGTCACTTCCGCTCTATCTAGACCCTGTATACTACTAATGTATCATGTGTTAACATCTAGAGAAATTCCTTATCCTTGTTTGCTCTGCTCCTGATCTGAGTTAAGATTATTATTTGGAATGACTGTCCTTCGTTTTCTTTAAAATTTATGACCCTTTATGAACAAATTATATATAAGTTGTGTAGCTATCCTACTCAACCAGCGAGTTATGTAAAGGTTGTTTGAAATTTTCTCCAACGTGATTATGGTTCTAGTCATTTTGTTTCATCTTCGAATTATCTCTTTAACTATAATGTTATCTTCACGTTTATTAAAAATAAAACTGAATTTTTTTCATAATGTTGTTACATTTTGTATTTAAATAAAATAGAGAAGAATTCTGTTTCTTTTGTAGGTTTCTCGAATATAAATGAAATTATTCATTTTTCTGCGGTTGGAGTCTTGTGTCTAAGTAATGGAATTGCTGGTAAGAATAAACAGTATATGGGAATACAATTTAATTCAAAACACAGTGTGTTTTCCCTTCCAAATATAAACTGCCAATAATTTGCACAACCATATATGAAATGCTTAAATTGTTTTTATTTTCTATTATCTTCGTAAACAGCGTTAAAACTCTGCTCAAAGAAGGTTGTCTAGAAAAAAATGTTAAATAGGGGATGGTTCATGTTCTGGGGGTACTTCACTATTGCTCCGAGAGATTCTTTTTTAATAGATTGATTTGTTTTATTTTACAGCTGGAGTTTGTGGTAGCGTACCTGTCTTACAAATCGTACTTACTGTGCATAGTATCTTTGGAGTCTTTGTATTTGGTGTCATGTCGATTGCCGTAGGAAGACGCACATTCTGCCCCGGAGATCCTGACAACCTTCTTGACACGCGTTGCTACCAAACAATTAGAATTCTACTAATTCTTTATGCGGCTTTTACCTTTATATGTAAGTTACACATATGTGTAAGCATCTTCGCTAGCCAAGGGTTTCTGATACGCTTCTCTCCTCATAAACCCTTGGCCTACGGTGAAATCAAAAGACGGGATTGTTTTCCGTCACGTGATCTCGAGTCTATCAGGTACGCACAGATTGCGTCATCGCCAGAAATAAAGACACGTGTTAAAAAAAATTAAATCAAAGTTTTTCAAGAATAATTAAGAAGCAATAATTGAGTTATGTTTATTCATTATTTATAGAACAAATCTGAAGCTTCAACATAGATTCTTAATCACATATTTAGAAGATATTGGATGACACCATGACTATTCATAGAATTGAATGTTATCTTACGGATCGTTGTTTTCTTGCGTTTTTCATTTCCGAGATTAAAAAGTGAAGATGTATCCCGAACGCAAATATCGTCATTTACAAAAAACAATTGCTGATTGGTCGACCTGGGTGTACTGAAATCCAATCAGATCGAACTCTGGGGAAATATCCCGATTTCTATGAACACCGTAGGCCAATTAAGGGTTTATGAGGAGAGTAGCGTATCAGAAACCCTTGGCTAGCGAAGATGATGTGTAAGTGAAATATTACATATATATCGCCCAAAAGTTATATTCGGGAATGTTTCATTCCCTTAAAAATAAGATGGTGATTATTCTGTTCGTTTGCTTTTGAA